AGCCGCACCATCCCACTCAATGAAGGGTTCATGGTTTAGGGGTCCCTTTCAGGAGGGAAAGAAACCAGGAAATGTTTTCTTTCCAGCTTCTTTTCAAACTACTCGGATACAAGATTACAAGTCAAACTGAAGCGCCCTCAATACCATAATGAAAGAAGTCTCCAAACAATCCGTTCGAGCTTTTTCAAGCAAACATTGAACAAACATGCAAACATGATTCGAAGAACACTACTTTCAAAGGGGAAAAGGAGGGACCCTTAATGGGGAGCCCTACCCTATAATGGGCTATATAATGGGTACATAATAGCTATATTAAGGGAATATACCTAGGGGTCGGTCCTTATTAAGTGTCCCTCCTTCTACCCGTAGATATTTAAAGAAAAGGAGTCCCTAAGTTCGACCAAGAAGACATTAACACTGTGCAGGGTTCAGGCTTTAGTAGTAGTAATAGGGCTTAGGTGCCCTAAACTCTAGACCCCAAAGCCCTAAACTCCCAAATCCTAAACCTCTGAAAACAAAAACCTTGGTGCGCACTGTTCTGGTTTAGTGTCCTGGACGCTCCCTCCCATGAGCAAAGAGATCCACGCAAGCACCTCAGCATAGGGTTTCGAATTTGCATAGGGTTTCGAATTTGAAGGTTGGGGGGATTGCGGTAGGATGTAGGCTGTAGAATTTAGCATTCGGATGTTGGGCGTGGCTCTGGCTACAGCTACCTTTGTCGTGTAATTCCCAGGGCTCATGGGGTCCAGGGTTTAGGTTGGTTGGTTCATGTGACATTCCAGACTCGTCTTGATTCTCGGCAAGGTGGCATCATGCGCTAGTTACTCACAGCATGCGGTTACAGTCTTAACCTTTTGCTAGCATCGATGGTGAGCAAGGTTTCTGCTGATTGCAAATCCTTGGCAGTACCCTTTGAAGAAATCTGCATTTCAGTGCATGAATCAGGAACTCGCGAAAGCAACCTCGTCACTAGGCCAATCCTGACGGCTGAGTCAAGGAGGATTGCCTAAAGCAATAATTCGGCCTGTCAAGGACCTTTGGCTTCAGCCTAAGCCCTTCAAGCCCCTAAGCCCACCGAGTCCACAGCCCGCCTCTGCCATGGGGGTGGATGATCGGCGCATAGCCACCAGTTCTCCGCAAGCACTCCTCGCCAGAAGCTTGTAGTCCAAGAGGTCGCGGATCACCCTGCGCTTTTGCTGTTTTATCAGATTCTTTTTCGCCTGCAACTCACACACTTGGTGCTGCATGGTGGCCTTCATCTCTTCGTGGCGATTTTTCCATTTTCTCGCCTCCTTGACTGCATTGTCCTTGGCAGTGCGCAACTTTGCCATCTCCGCCGACACTTCAAGGCGCTCCGATGAATCCCCTATAGGTACATATATACTACCTATAGTCTCCATTGTAAATCCTTTTTGTGGCTTAACCAATTATATATTAAGGATCCTATAAGGTAACCCCAAAAAGGAACTACAATGGAGACTGTAGGTACTACTTCAAGGCCAAAGTATATACTTTTTGGGCACGTGGAACCTTGGGGTAGAAATCTAAGCCCACAACCCAAAACCCTGAACCCTGTAAGCCCTAAAATTGAAGTGCTTAAAACCCTAAGCCTTAAACTTGAATCTCTCAACCGCTTAAGCCCTAAAATTGAAGTGCTTAAAACTCTAATAAACCCTAAAACTGACCTAGACCCCCCAACTAATTACCCTTTGCTGTAGCCCTTAATTACCTCTTAGTTAGAAATATGAACGCCCCTTAAAGGGCACTTGGGGGGTGCTGGGATTCTCTCAAACCTTTAAGCAGCAAATTTAGAGTGCTTCAATCCGCATTCCTTAGCCCTTAACTCTCAATGCTTTCAGCCGTGAATTTGAAGTGCTTCGAACCGCAACCTTATGCCCTAAACCCAAAGCCCTAAACCCAAAACCCCTACACCCCTACCCTAAGGGTCCAGGTATCTCCTTAGGAGGGTCCGGAATCTCCTACAGAGAGCCCTTGGGTCTCTTTGGTGTCTCAGAAACCCTCCCCAATTTGTTAGGTCCCTAAACCCTAAACCCTAAACCCCTATAACTCCCTAAACCCTAAACCCTATAAGCCCTAAACCCTAAACCCTATAAGCCCTAACCCAAAACCCTAACGCCTAACCCCTAAACCCTGAACCCCTATAAGCCCTAAACCCTAAACCCTATAAGCCCTAACCCAAAACCCTAACGCCTAACCCCTAAACCCTGAACCCCGAAACCCTAAACCCTGAACCCCTAAGCCCAAAACCCTAAACCCTAAACCCCTAGGCCCTAAGCCCTAAAACCCTAAAACCCCTGAAACCCCGAAACCCTAAACCCCAAAGCGGGCCGAGGTGGAGGCCCAAGGCAGGTAGGGAGCTCTAAAGTTGAAGAAGAGCACCTTTTTCGGGGTGTTTTTGGTGATTTCCTAGGGGTTTTTAGGGTTGATAGGGCTTAGGGTTAGGGCTTATAGGGTTTAGGGTTAGGGCTTATAGGGTTTAGCGCTTAGGGTTGGGGTTTATAGGGTTTAGGGTTTAGGAGGGCTGTTAAGGTATTTAGGGCTGTAGGGGCTTAGGGAGGTTTTGCGGGCTTATAGGGCTTACAGTTACAAGGCTCATAGTGTTCAGGGTTTGCGGCTTAAAGTTTAGGAGGGCTTGTAGGATATAGGGATGAGGGAGGTTAGAGGTTTAGGGGCTTAGGGTTTTTTGGGCTTAGCAAGTATTCAGACCACGATATTATGCAGAGAGATTTGGGTTTGGAATGACTTGGGTGTTGTAAAGGATTTGGGCATTTCGATTGAATCCGTTGAGACAGCCAAGTGTTGAGCGTTGAACAGCAGTCTAATGAACAACTGATTAAGAAACCTTGGGCAATTAGGGTTCTTTATATGTTACAGGACCAGGTGTCTTAATCAGGTTCCGACATGAATCCATAAAGCTTCTGCGGAATAGGAGAAGCTTCACTAGAGCCGCACCGTGATCATCACTTGTCGAGTTAGGGCTTAGCGTATAGGGCTAAACGGGCTTATAGGGCCAACGGGGCTTAACCCTAAACCCTATACCCCTCAACCCTAAAGCCTAAACCCTATAGACCTTATAGGGTCTGAGGGTTGCGCAAATGACCGTTCAACCTGCACTGCTGCGGTGTTCCGGACTGCTGCCAGCATGGATCTTTTTAGGGTTTAGGGTTTAGGTTTTGACTAGGGTTTAGGGTTTAATTAACGTTTAGGGTTCGGGGTTTAATTTAGGATTCTTGCTGTTTCTTTAGCAGCATTGCATTTCTCCAAAATCTGTATGAAGCTTTTAGAAAAGTACTCGCGCGGCAGAAGACTCGCCTCAGCGTCCATCGCCGCGGACGAAAAAGGTCCTAAGCAACCTGGGAATCTGGTCGAGATCGCTGATCCTGTGGGGACTAATCGTCCTCCAGGCATACAACGCAGCAGTTGTTCTGCTCTGGACTAGCCGGTAGCGGCCGACTTCGATCTAATTTCTGGAAGGGGTGCTGGAGACATGTCCCGGCCCCTCACTGCGTGTGTATGCTTCTCCTGCTCTGTCTCCTCGCCCTCCTCGTGATCACGGTCGTCGCTGACAGCGCATCGTCGGCTCAGTCTTAATCTGTCTTAAGTGCACACTGTCAAAAATAGCAGCGCCAGCGCCAACACCGCCCTCACCCTCACCCTCGCACACACCCTCACCGTCACCATCACCATCATCATCACTGTCAACATCACCATTGCCGCAACGAACACCGTGCTGATTTCCACCGTCATCGCTCGAATGATTGGGGTCATTTGTTGTCAGAACTTTCGCCAACAACACCAACCCTAAGGTTCCAAAGGACCCGATAATTAGGTACTTGGGTTAAGGATAGTAGTTATGTAGCTCAATATAGCTCAATATTTTGGAGAGTATATGATTATTAGGTACTTCGACCCTACGTGCAACACCGACGACATGACTATGAACGGCAGTATCAGCATATCCCTGCGCTTCCCCGTCCCTTCATCCGCGTCGACACCGTCGTAGTCTCACCCAAAGAAGAACCTGTCTTCCGCAGAGTCGATACTTTCTGCAGTAGTAGCAACAACGCCGGACAGGGCCTGGTGATCGAAACATAACCACACCAAAAGCAATAACAATACTGGTCGATTATCAACATGATCCTTATCACTATTGTTGTTATATTATGGTTTTTAGTATTACTGATAGCGCATTGTTAACCCCTAATCATAATCATAACAGTAATAGTCGTTACAAACTATTTCAAAGTTGTACCTGTGCCCCCCCCCCCAACCTCCCAGGCCTACATCCCCAAACGTTCTCGCAACCTAAAGCCCCAAACTATACAACAGACCCAGAGGGTCCAGGTACCCAAATAGTAGGGTCTCAGGTCCCAAAATCCATACTCTGAATGGTTTTTGGACCTTGAAACCCTACTATTTGAGTACTTGGACCCTTAGGGAGATACAGCCTCTAACTCTAATATTGGGGGGCCTTAATGGTTAGAATAGGGTTCGGGGTAGAATATATTTCAATTCTAATGAGGAACCCACAATAATGTAGGTAATCATTAAGGCCTCTATTTTACCCTCAACTCGCCTGCATCCTGGCTGCCGAGTTCCGCCTGGCCAGCTTGCCGGTGTGGGGCATTAGAGGTTTGGGGTTTACGGTTTATATAAGGTTTAGGGTTCTTCATGTAGGGCAAGTTTGGTTTGGGGCCAAGGGGTTACATGGCTGCTTCAAACATTGCAGATTCGAAATGGTTCGGGTTTGTTGCGTTTGCTGGGTTGGTTGAAGGTTGGGTCATGCCCAAACGTAACGTGCCACCATTGCTCCCGGCAGCGCAAGCAAAGATCTGGGGCGATAACGGGTCTACTCAATGGAAACGTGCTCCTGTATCCCACTTCGTCTCAGGCACTTCTTGCCTGATTAGCAGCGGCTGCACACGACAGCTCCAAAAATCGGCGAAACATGGTGAGACAATCAGACAGCTACATCGTGCCTATCTTGGTCCTGCCCGAACCTCGAGCAAAGCCTGGTGGAAACGCCGTGTAAGTCGGGTCAGTTTCATGCCGTTAGAAATGGAAGCCTCGATTACGCGAAGCGCCTCAGCGGCGTGCGAAGGCTTCACATTGGAAACGACCCTGCGAACGTCAGCCATGCTTTTTGTCTCATGCGTAGTTTTCCGGCTCCCCATCAATGATGTCACATGCATCTCCACGAAATACTCGTCAATGTCAATACCGGACATCGCTACCTCCTCCGCGAAAGCCGTGATGTTTTCCAGCTTTCGGCCGGCATGTGCGGCCATGGCATGTGTGTAGTGGATGAGGTTGACAGGCACACTTCTCGATACCATTTCCTTCAAGAAGTACTTGGCTGTGCGCGGCTTGCCTGCGATTTTGCAGCCATTCAGCGCTGAGCCCCAAGTTCCTTCATCGATCCGAAGCCCTTCCTTCAAGATCAGATCCAGGAATGAAATGACTCCCGTAATGTTGCCAAAGTCACCCATGGCATTGACCATCTCGCTCATCAGCAAGTAAATCTGGCGAGGCTCCCAGGAGCCTGTTTGGCTCTTTGCTGCATCCCACAGCTGGAACACCTTGTCACTTTCATTCCATACCACTGTAGCTCTTGCGCTGCACTCGAAATCAAGCTCAAGGAACTGGCTTCCTCTCGTGAGATGTTGTGATCATCCCAGCCGGACTCTGACACAGGCGTTCGAAGTTTCCAGCCCCGCTTCATAGCCTGTTCCTCCATCCTCCTGTTTACACCACGTTGTTGAGCGAAACTGATGGCTTGACTTGCCCAGACTAGGACCACGAAAGCACTCAAGGTAATGCACGCGGCAGGCTTCCGCGGGCGCGATGACATGAGGCACAACTTGGTCAATCAAAGGCAGAACAAAGGATCAAGAGCTTGAGTTCTAAGTTCAGTCGCGCTGCATGTGAGCGAAGCCCAGACAACCGAGTGCACTCAACCCTTCAATGGGTTCGGCTCATGTTTTCTCGATTTTATTGAGGCTGCTCATGGCTTCAACTTCTCCTACGTACTACTTGGATTCGGCCCCCAGTCTAATATTTGTCGTGTACAGTAAACCCCATAGAGTTGGAAACCGGATTAAGGCCAAATAGTGCCTGGGTTCCCTCTACATTACTCTTAAGGACTGAGGCTATTGGGTTTCCAACATTTCGGCTTCTACTATAGACACATGAGGCCCTCAACGGTACCCTGTTTTACACTGTTGCTGTACCCAAGCTATCTAGATGGCGCTCGGTGCAGGATGCTTACAATTTGCAGGTTGAAGGCTAATGTAGGACCCTGATTAAGAAACCATGGGCTATAACCCCAAAATAATAAGATTCATATAAGGAAGCCTAATAAGGGCCCTCAAAGGTTTCTTAATCAGGTGGCTACATTATGGCACTTGAGGTTCAATGCTTTTGTCTGGACAGGGGTCGGCTTCAAAAGATACAGGTGCTCTCGTTCATGCCCGAGAACTTGAACTTCATACTTGTTCGTCCAGCTGCGTGTTGAGATGGGCATGAGGGTGCTTTGATTTAGTCTTCTAGGTTGGGTTAGGTTATCCAGCTGTCCAGGCGGATCCTATACAGGAGGCACGGTTCGGGTTTAGTGTGGGGGAGAGGCGCTTATGGCTGCAATGCGATGTACACCGCGTCTGAGTCCACTTCTTCCAGCAGCAAACCCAAAGCCGAAACCAAGCCTTTGAAACTCAACAAACCCTACAAATCCTGATTTACTAATTAAGCGCCCCAGACGCCCAAAAAGTAGAACAACCCAACAAGCCCTAACCGCGCTAAAGCTCGCAACCTAAACCAGATCGCCTTCCCCAGATGTAAGTCATAAGGTCGATCATCGCCCCGCTGACGAAATACCTGCGTGACTTCTCTTGAAGTCTCAAACACAGGAAGGAGGCAGGCAGGCCCCTGTAATAAGCCGGTTGCAATAAAGGGAACTCCAGAAAGTTGGAATATGGATTAATGGTAGGATCCCCTATAATTTACCTTAAAGGGGTTACGATAATGAGGTTCCAACTTTCTGGCTTCTACTGTAGATAGTTCATGTTGATGTGAATGCTTCGGTCCCTGACAGTCAACCCGACCAAGCAAATCCCGGATTAAGGTTTAGGGTTATCCTTAACCTACCAAACCCTACCTTTCAGTAGGCTCTTATTATCAACCCTAGTATGGAATTTATAGGGACCCTACCTTTCTGTAGGTGTTGGTTGGCTTTTGGCCGGGCTTAGGGTTTAAAGGGAACTCCAGAAAGTTGGAATATGGTTTCAGGGTAGGATACCTATAATTTACCGTAAAGGGTTTAGGATAATCATATTCCAACTTTCTGGCTTTTACTTTAGGGTTCAGGGTTTAGGATCCTGTTGCTGAATCAAGTTAGAGGCATGGCCTCTCTTATCGCGGTTTGCGAAGATTCTGCGCCGGTAGCTCTCCCTAAGGGTCTATGTGCCCAAATACTATATACTTTGGCCCCAAAGTGCCTATATATGGAGTACAATAAGGCCAAAGTATACACTATTTGGGTACATGGACCCTTAGGGTCTGTAAACCCTTCAGGTCTGCGCTCGTTTAGGGTTTAGTTCTAGCTTGACACCCTACCTATAGTCTCCATTGTAGTTCCTTTTTTGGTTCACCAAAATCTCTATCATAGGATCCTAACCATAAAACTGGATAACCAAAAAAAGGAACTACAATGGAGACTAGAGGTAACTCCTGAAACCCTCTAGCAACACCGGGTGCAGGATGTGAAACCTCTCCATGCTCTGGGGACCTTCGATAGTGTAGAAAACTGGCCTTTGGTTAGTAGGGAAAGGAAGGGGCTTTATAAAGGGGTCTATAAGGGTTACTAGGGATCTAGAAGGGTACTATAATATAGGGGCCTTAATAATCCTATAAGCCTACCTTTGGTTAGTAGGGAATGGAGGAATGGGATACAACTAGAGCTACTATTACTACCATTCTTCCATTCCCTACTCACCAAAGGTAAGTCTGGGGGACCTTCGATAATGTGGAAAAAGGGCCGGTGACGCCCTGAAAGACCCAAACCTCCCTTCAAGTCTAGTCCCTTAACTCCAATGCCCAAGGGCACCAAAATCCAAGATTTGCTAAGACCTTGTCAAAACCTTGAATCTGAAGGCCTGTCCAGACATAGTGTCTGGGAGTAGTGTCAGAGCTTTAGCTTAGTGCTGTCGGGTTTCAGGCTCAGGCTTTAGTTTTCAAGCGCAGGCCATCCCCTAAATCCCCAAATTCAATCTCGAAAGCTCTCACCCTTTCAACATGCGCACGTGTTCCCAAAGAAGTAGGTCAGGACCAGGAGCATGCCTCTTCGCTGGAAGGCTGAGAAGCTAAAATCATAGGGACCCTTAGGGGCGTAAAGGGAGGTGGGGCACGGCCCTAAACCCTAAACCCTAAACCCTAAACCCTGAACCCTAAACCCTAAACCCTAAACCCTAAACCCTAAACCCTAAACCCTAAACCCTGAACCCTAAACCCTAAACCCTAAACCCTAAATCCTAAACTCTAAACATTTAAGGAAGTATGGTCCCCTACCTCCCCTCCCCCTTACCCCCCTAAGGTCAGGTTGAGGTTATACATAGAGGTGTCGGGTTCAGGGGCTTAGGGCTTGCTGAAAGAAGCAGACCCTCAAGTACATCAAGCATCCCCGTGACACTTTGATTAGATTAGATTAGATCCCTCATTGAAGGAGATTGGGCTTTCTTGCAGAACCCTAAACCCTAAACCCCTAAACCCCGAAACCCGACAACCCTAAACCCCTAGACTTCGGCGGAGCCCTAAACCCGACAGTCCCAAACCCTAAATCCCGCAGCCAGGCCCTAAACAATGCACCGGTTTCGTGTGGATTTACGAGCACTGGGCAGTTTGTGGGGTCTGGCAGTCTAATACAGTAAGGGGTCCAGGTATCTAAATCGTATAGACACTTGTCCTACTGTTGATGACATAAATCCTGCATGACCCATAATAAGGAACATACCATAATTCCGATAGTTTAGGGTCCTTAAGGTAATGCAGGATTTATATCATCAACCGTAGTGTAAACACCCCCCCTTTAAAGGGTCACCTGCTTCCCCCAATGCTACATACTAAACTGGCAGGTTATGACCGCTGGATGGCCTAACCTTGCAAACTGGAGGTTCTTGGCTTCACAGACCCCTGAACCCACTATGTAGGCACCCGAAGTACTACTCGGGTTCAGCGTTCGACCCACTCCTGCATGTCCAGTATCATAACAGATCCAATTGTTAACCTTTGGGACTCAAAAGGGGGAAGGGGTTACCTACACTGCTACCAAGAACTTGCATAAAGACCAAGTTGTACACTTGAGCATGCTTGACATGTATGCCAAAACCCGGCATTGTTTTGACTCCTAACGCCTGCAGTCGTAAACGAACTAAACCCCAAACGCCACACTCTGAACCGAAGCTCAAGAACAGCTCAACAACCGCTGCCTCCAACCTTCAAAATTCCTGAAGCACAGACAGACGCAGCTTAGGGTTTGGGGTGCAGGGTTTACGGTACATTCCCGGCACACGCGAAGGAACGCAACCCACAGCAGAGTTGGAGGTAGTTTACGGCCTTTTGGGGGTTTTGAGGCTGGGAGGGTCGGGTGTTCGTTGCGGCATCCTAAACCCTAAACCCTAAATCATCTTTTCTCACAGACACCCTATCGATCTCCTCCTCCACCTTCTGGCTTAGTGCCAAAACCCCAAAACCCAAGCCCCACAACTCTCCCCCAAACCCTAAGACACACAAGTCTACACCTTAAACCCCAAAACCCTAAAAACCCTCAAGTTTGGATGTTGAGGTCGATGCAGTCATATAATGTTATGGTCCTACGGTCCTTGAGTTGGTACGTCGCTTCTTGCAGCAACCGCTATTTCAATATGCACCTTCGAGGAAGGCACAATTGTCTTTATCACCTCTCTTCCGGCACATGTAAGACCCGAACTCAAGATCCCCCGATAAGCAGATGCATAGCACAAGAACAGAAACACAGACGATCCTACAGAAGAACGTCTTGAAACTCCGGCCTGCGCCACAGACGAGCATCCACAAGAAGTCTGCCGACTTCCGATGGAAGGCGATTTCTTCAAGGGAAGAGCAGTAAAATACCTGGCCATTGGAGCTGCTACAGGGGCTTAACGTCTGAAGTTGTACCGAAGTGTAGGCTTCCGGGCTGCACTGGGCAGCAGTATAAATGTGTATATAATAATATATATATATATATATATATATATATATATATATATATGTGATAACAAGTTCACATATACAAATATATACATCTGTATCTGTATATATATATATATATATATATGTGTACTACTGTAATATGCACATACATAGTACATCCATCCATCCATCCATCCATCCATCCATACATACGGGATGAGCAGTTTAGTAATTACACAACTAAAGCTAGAAGTAGGATAATGCCCTGAACGCAGTCTTGGGTCTATAGGAATGCCGCCAAACCCTT